CAAGAGCTTCCAGGTTGTCGCTCCGGCTCCGCCATTCGGCAGTCTGGAGCCGATGCCTGAACCAACTCGCAGTGGAGTCAACTGTGGGCTATTGCCTTATCGGTCGTATATGTACGTGCATGCAGCCAATAACAGCAACCGCAATCATCGCCTCAGATCCGAGACCCGTCAAACCCAAAACGAAAAATAAAAATAAAAGAGAAATGAAAATGAAATAATATAAAACAAGGATACCTCTCCCCATATAAGCAAAGATAGGCAGGCTATTAGGCATGCTATTAGTGCAGGCATGCTATTAAGCTATCAAGCAATATGTCAGGTTGGATTCCCTCGTTATTTAGTCTGCATAACACCTTTGTTAGACCAAAAGGCAATTACAGCTTCTCGAAAGAATACCCCCTAAACACCCCTAACTCTCCCTAAACCCGCTTCGCCATGCTCGTAGACAACGACGAGCATGCTGCCCGTCTTGATCATGCTGCTCACCATGTCCCCGAACCATATAGCATTTTTGACAAGCGCCAGAAAGCCTTGATCACGTTTCTCGCCGCAACGGCTGCTACGTGTAAGTGATGCCGATTCTCTAGTACCTTGGCACAGGCGCCCGCTAATCAACTTGCATGGCTACCTAGTCTCTGGCTTCTCATCCAACATCTACTTCCCTTCGCTTTCCGTCATTTCAGAAGACCTGGGCGTTTCTGTCGAGCTTGTCAATCTGACCATAACATCGTATCTGATATTCCAGGGCCTCGCTCCGAGCGTTTGGGGTCCGCTGTCGGATGCCAAGGGACGTCGGATAACGTATTTCTGTACTTTCTTGGTCTACATAGGTGCATGTGTAGGGCTAGCCGAGACGCCCAACTATGCTGCCCTCATCGTGCTGCGGAGTCTGCAGAGCTCCGGGAGTGCCAGCACCGTTGCCGTCGGTTCAGCAGTCATTGGCGACATCACCACCCGCGAAGAGCGCGGCGGGTATATGGGTGTTTTCCAAGGGGGTCTACTCGCTCCGGTAGCGGTAGGGCCGATTATTGGCGGAGCTTTGGCTGCTTCCTTTGGATGGAGGTCCGTCTTTTGGTTTTTAACTATTTACGCTGGCGCATTTCTCGTGGTTTTGACCCTCGCCTTACCTGAAACTCTGCGGTCGGTCGTGGGGAATGGAAGCATACAGCCGTCGAACCCGGTCGCACGATATCCCCTGGCCCTGTACCAGCGAATGACCAAGACAAAGTTCCTCCCGCAAGCGCAGCCCGTAGAGGCTACCAAGAAGGCCGGCATCGATATCGCTGGGCCAATCCGCATACTCTTCAGCAAGCAAGCGGCCCCGGTAGTCGTCTTCATTGCTTTGTATTATGCGGTATGGCAGATGAGCATCACGGCGGTGTCCGTGCTTTTTGCCGACCTTTACAGCCTTAGTGAGACGCAGATCGGCTTGACGTTCATCGCGAATGGCGCAGGGTCCATCAGCGGCACGCTCATCACCGGCAAGATCCTGGATAGACACTATCGACAGATTAAAATTAAGCATGAAGGCACAATATCCCAAAGCTCATCAGACACGGAAACTAAAGAATCACCATACGAGGACGTCGACTTTCCGCTAGAGACGGCACGGTTCCGCATGCTCCCAATTCTCGCCATTCTCCAGTGCGCATCCGTCATCACGTTTGGCTGGACCATTCAGTATCGCATCCATATCGCCGTACCCATCGTCACGACCTTCATCTCGGGCTGGACCGCGGTTTCGATAGTCTCGATCATCACGACCTATCTAATAGACGTCTTCCCGGAGCAGAAGGCCGCCTCAAGCGCGAGCGTAAACTTTGCGAGATGTCTTCTCGCGGCGGGGGGCACTAGCATTGTGACGCCCATCATCGACGCCGTAGGCGTAGGCTGGACATTTACTATCGCGGTCGCCGTACAGCTTGTTGCCCTTCTGGGTCTGGCAATACAGTGGCATTACGGCGGCAGATGGAGAAAGGAGGCTGAAAAGGCCAGAATCCAAGTGGACCGACAAGGTGAATAGGTGGGTGATCGACTACTTAGACTAATTTATAGACCGGTGACATTTCCAGGGAGTATAGTTGGCATTTACATATAGAACAGCATAAAGCAAATAGAAATAGACTTGTAATCATTCATCTTGTCATAGTTAGCCTAGACGAACAACTGATAGCTCGACTCAACTCGATTGGCCCGCCAATTCCTTTACAGCATCAGACGAATGCGAGATAAAGAAATAAGACGCAAAAATGAGAAGACTACCTACTGGATGAGATTCGGTATGGTTGATGTGCTTTCAAGTTCTAGAAACGGCACCTTTATACAACTACATACCTACCTAAGTAGTTAGACGAAGGGCAAGACGAAAGTCAAAATGACTGGCGAAATAGGTTATTATTATTTTGGGGAGTGCATTCACTAGAAACTCCGTTCCCTAATCCTACCGGCCTGCTGGGCCACAATATTCGCACCGTATTCGGTGACTGGTGGCCGAAAGACTTCACAGGCTACCCAAATGCAGTGTTCCGCAACCCTTCAAGATGTCTCATCAGTTTGATGTAATCATGACGAGGATCTGGTTATCGTAAATCCCATCTTCCCTGCCACCACAAGCTTCTTCAGGTCCGAACCACACATTTCTGCCTTTTATCATAAATTATCTGAGTAAAAAAACCCTCTTTGTTGTCCATACTGTCAGGTGGGTTGGTCTCTAGAGTGAAGTTGGGTCACCGAAGGGTAGCAGCTAGGTCGTAGTATGGGTTAGGGGCTCAATGTCATTGATTCCTGGCCTCTCTCTCTCTGAGGGGAGAGAGTCGGTGTTTTATGTAGACAGAATGCTAGCTATCTCCACTTTCTAGGATCCTTCCAGCCACCTGTGACCCTGGCACCTGATACGTACTATTTCAGAGACTTCTCTTACGGCGGATTTATGAGAGACTGAAATCACGACTCAGCTACCAGCCCTGGGAGCGGCCGCTGTAAGGTACAAAAACATGAGAATCCTCAAAAGGGGGTTTTGTTGCCTTTTCAAAAGCGCCTTGCGACACTTTCTTTTGAGATTGAGACGCTGCCTTGTAGTTTGAAGTATCTTTCCAGTTGTCGTTGATTTCGCATTGGCCTTGGATGATGACCTTCAGGTCACCATCTGTTCGGGTACTGTTTGCATGAGCAGTCCTCGTCCTGGTCGTGTTAATGGCGGCGCTGAATTTATAACCCGGCTTGGCTACCTCGTCCCCGGCGCGAGGATCTTTTCCATACTGATTCCAGGCTGTTGCTGTATTAACAGACCCGTTCACCTTCTCCTTACTGATTTGTCTAGGCTTTCCGTTCTTGGACGCTGTATCGCTGGCCTTGGATGCATATCCCAGCCCGATAGGAGACTCGTAATCTCCGTGCATGTTCGCAGAACTAAACGCATCGAGAGGCCGTTGAATTCCAGAGCCGTTAGGTCCAAGACCACTTTGACTCGACCACCCTTGTCCAGTCATTAGCCTGTATCCGAATGGATAGTGTGATTTCAAGTCGGTTTCATCATTTGAGACGATTCCTTTGTGGAAGTCCGGGATTGATAGAATGCATTTACCGGCACCTCGCACGAAACCTTCGGGAGTGGCAGAGCGACCAATGCTGAACTGATGGAGAGCATCGCACATTTCATCGGCGTCACTACTTGCGACGTCTTGGGTAGCGAAGATCATTGCGCCTCCGGCTTCGGGGATTGGTGTAGTAGCAACACCACTGGATGAACCAAGCTTCCCGGAATATCCATCTCCATCCTCGGTGTACAGTGGCACAGGAGAGTTCGCAGACGAGGTATCACTGCCACCCCATTCTCGTCTCAGCTGCTCGATGACTAGCCAGAAAAAAATATATTAGTGAAAACTGTGAAAATCGGATGCCCCATTCGCACCTTCGGGGGTATTCAGCGACAACGGAGCCCACTAAAACACGAACGGGGAAGGAAGGACTATAACGCGTACTTCGGCATACGGCGGATATTTGCTCATCATCCAGAGTAGTCTTCTTGGATAGATAAAGAGTGACCTGCACAGATTAGCCCCATCACCGAGTATGCAGCGGACATGATAATCAAGAGTGGGATATCACACACAATGCAGAAGAGGTGATAAGCCAGGTCCTTGTGATTAGCATTAGCGGTAATGTTAGCAAGGAATTGTCGAAATGAATCTTTCAGATGTTTAGCGCAGTCGACGGAGTCGAGGAGCTTATCAATAACTTCGTTACGGAAGTCAAGGTCAGCCTCTCGTAGAGCGGACTCCGTCGCCATTGTTGCGACCTGTTAGCCAAAACTCCGAGGAGGAAGCAGTGCCACTTCCGGACCAAGGCCAGGTGTTGGGGCTATGATGTAATCAACCTGAAGGGTAAGACGTAGGCGAAGGGGAGTTGAGATGGCTGGTAGGATAGGCACAGGAAGGTAAGGATTCAAGTACCTATGGTATGTACCTACTCAAGCATCGCTAATGCTGAGATTTCGATGAGCTAGAGGGAGGGGGTTTAGCTGGGTACCAAGTGAAGGAAATTGGAAGGTGCGGCTTTGGTATGTGTACAAAGGTACCGGCCATATAAACGCTTCCAAGAGCGGTTTGATCTCTCGTAAAATGGCAGAAGAGACCTAATTGGATTAGGTACGCACCTATATATGTATGCAGGCATTTGGAGACGGTCATTCATTATGCTAAATATATATCCAATACTTGGAAGTCTGGAACGTTTACATTTAACACACACAACATCTTCACTTTCTCATCAATATACAAGCGCTCCAGCTTTTTCAATCCAGTAGGCTACACAGGAAACTCCAGCCCATATATACGAAGGGGGACAATTTATTAGAAATATATCTATTCTCCTACTGTTCCCTCCACAAAGCGTAACTATACTGCTTCACTGTTGAAAGTAGGATGCAGTCGCTCTCCTAACAGATATAACTTTGTTTGTAGGACGAAAGCTAATATCCTCAATACCCTTATCGATAATCAGTTTCTGTGGCCTAGTGGTTATGGCGCATGTCTTACATATTATTTCTAGAAATTTAAGATCACATGAGATCCCCGGTTCGATCCCGGGCAGAAACACATGTTCTATGTTTTGCCTTTTTATTTCCGAGAAATGTTCACTCTTTCGATGAAAATCTGTCCAAGCCTAATCTGGCAAAGAAACTAAGCGTTTAATCTGTCTTACTACAGATTGGTTTATAAATTTTGTTTTATCTATTAAAACCTATTGCCCTTGATACCCATTTTAAACACACAGCTCAGATTCGACACTATATCTAGAGCACAGGTCGGCCAACAAAACCAGTACTAGTGCCCGCATGAGTCATGCGCCGGGAGCCACCTCGGCCCCGCTTTCGCCCCGGAGGGGAACCTTTAACACCCGCGCGACGGCAGTAGTGTCCAACCAAGAGCTCGCATCGGCCGAGTTTTATTATACCAGTTAGGTCTAGCTCCCGCGACTGGGGTGAGTAGATATATACTAAGAATAATCATTGACGTCCCGTCCAGTAACGAGATGTTCACACCGACGAGAACACAACTCCTCGACATCTTCTATAAAGTAGATTCGGCTCTCACGTCTTCTGGTGCTCTCAAGTCGTATCCCACAATTTCATCTTCATTTTTTTCTTGTTTTCAGCTCCTATCCTTCGAATTGCTAGCTGGCCAAGTTTTCGATCACAGCACGTCTGTCAGTCTGCATACTCTAGCGCTTTCGGCCATGGCTGGAGTACATGGGAAGTGTACTCCGCAGTTCGAGAAGGTCCGCTTTCTCTTACAACAGTTCATTGATTCGGGAGAAGAGCTCGGCGCCTCCATAGCCGTCAACGTCGACGGCGAAGATGTCGTGAATATCTGGGGCGGCCTCGCCGACGCAGAAACCAAGCAGCCCTGGGTCGAGGACACCATCGTCGGCGTAGCCTCGAGCTCAAAGACCATCAGCAGTCTCGCAGTTCTCATGCTCGTTGATAGCGGTGCCATCTCAGTCTACGACAAAGTGTCCAAGTACTGGCCCGAGTTCGCCGCCAACGGCAAAGAGAACGTCGAGATTCGCCATCTGCTGTCTCACACCTCTGGCGTCGCTGGCTGGGACGACAAAGTCACCATGGATGAGATCTGTGATCCCATCTCTTCATCTGCAAAGCTCGCGTCTCAAGCGCCGTGGTTTGAGCCCGGCACAGCGTCGGCCTATCATGCCTGGAACTTCGGCCATCTCCCGAGCGAGATCGTCCGCCGCGTGACGGGGACGGGTCTGAAGCAGTTCATCGCCGAGAAGATTGCCGGGCCCTTGCACGCCGATTTCCAGCTCGGTATTTTGGATAAAGACGCCGCTCGTATTGCCCCTCTCAAAGTGCCGACCTCGTCGGGGGCTGCCGCAGACTTCAAGCCCGGTCCCCTGTTCGTGAAGGCTATTGCGAACCCCATGATGCCGCCTGATGTTGGCAAACGCCCTGCGTGGAGACAAGGCGAGATTGGCGCTTCGAACGGGTACAGCAACGCTTACGCGATGAACAAGATGCTTTCCGCCGTTACGCTAGCTGGCAGCGCATCCGATCAGAAGAAACTGTTAGCCAAGTCGACCGTCGACTTGATCTTCGAGGAACAGTCTCGGGGAATAGACCTCGCTATTGGAAAGCCGATCTGTTTCGGTATTGGCTATGCTATTAAAGGTGACGGGGATTGGATTGATGATTGGATGCCCGCGGGAGATATTGCTTATTGGGGTGGTTCAGGTGGCTCACTGGCCATAATGGATGTTGGCCGCAAAGTCACAATCACTTACGCCATGAACGTAAGGTCGCTAACTCTCATCGGAAACACCGCTTCTAGGGCGTACATAGGTGCAATCTACGAGGCACTGGGAGTCAAGATTTAATGATTTCCAAGAGGAGAGCTCGGCTATATTGGGTGAGGAACGAAGCATGTATTGTGTATTTGTATTATTATTAGGGCATTCATAGAGTTACAAAGTGAGCTAAATTTCAGGGGGAATATGTAGAGGTCTCGTAATCCGTAGAATCAAAATAGAAGTGCGTCATGAATGAGAATTCGTAAGGTAGATCTTGCTCCATCATGTGTCTTGTAACTGTGACACTGACAGCATAAGACCTCGTACCGCGATTCATTGTATCATGCGTGAATCAAATCGCGTCATATTCTTATGACCAGCTGAATTGACATTCAGTAAATCAGTTCATTTAATCCGACTGTCTACAGCAGAATAATATACGTACTGACCCTAAGGAGTTGGCGCGATAGCGGCGGCCCAGCACGCAGCTTGACATGCTCCAAACGCAGTATTACACCCAATGACGGTCGCCGGGGCGGACGCGCCCATTGTAGCTCCCCATGTGAAGCCCGCAGCAGCGTAGCATGCCGTTACGACCGCGGCACACCCAGCCTGGCATATACCGTATGCCGCTGGGCCAGCGCTCACGATAGGCGCAACCCCGATTAATGTCGCGACGAGAGAAGTGGTAGGTCTCATATTGTGTTTGGATTCGCTAGCAAATGATATACGATATTTTGGTGCTATTATTTTGCCTTGAAGCGATGCAGGAGTTGAGGGTGCTGGCGCTGATGACTCTGATGAGGGGTAAGTTCGTTTAGAGAAACTGCGCGTGAAAGGTTGGGTGTTATTTTCTTAGACCCCAACCAGGAACTTGAAGAGGTGGCTGTGTTTATATACACGAGAAAGCATGTTTCACAACATTAGGCACTATTGGTGGGCTGCATGTACTACCGATGTGTACGGAATTGATTCGAATGCACGTATCCGCCTGATAGTTAGCCACCTGTAGGCTTGATAGGCCGCGAACCTTCGAGGATGGAGAATACGACACCCACCTTTCCAGTTGCCGATATACCAGGCAGTCGATCGTCGTACTTCATGGTGTTTGCATCCCATCATAGGTGTGTGAGATGAAGTCTGAAGATACAGCACTGGAATCAAAATACTCTCACTAATTATTACTCGTGTTTCGGATGGCACCGCCCAGGTACACTATACTGCGCGCCGTTGAATAACACAGCCCTTGCTCTACCGATTACCTTCCCTGGCATTATGCCACAAATAACCAGGCTGTCACAGGAGGGTTATGCATTTAGGTATTGAGGCGTGTGCATAGAATGCGACGTGGCTGCCTTTTACTCTATCATACTCTACACCGGTTTATGCATGAGATTGTCATGTAACCATACTTCCAGTCATGTGAGGAATTGTTGTTGAAATGATATTGTGAAGAATCTGTGCTGAGTAGATGACCGATAACTAATCGTAGCCAACATTTCCGGTTGCTACTTCTACGTGCTCAAGCCGGAAGTGCTTTCTCGTGACATATGTTAGAGAGCGATAGAGATGATAAGAGTTGGGTTCATTGAGTAGGATTCCGCTAAGTGTCTGCTCGTTATATCGACACATAAGCTGATAGGTATAGGTATGAACCGAAGGCCCCAAATATCATACGACCACCTCGCTGTGCTTATATGCCTACAGAAAATGATAGAAGATTTGGTACCACTGCGAGAAACTCATCGGAGGAGACGATAACAAACTGCCGACTGCTTAATATAAATAAACATTAAGACTAAATTTACAAAGTGAAGTACATTCATATGTGCCTATGTTGGTAACTTCTAACGCAGATGTTACTATAAGGCACAAGTAAACTTAAATTTATAACGTCATAAAAAAGTGTTTTTTGCCGGTACCCAAATATGCGATTTTCTTGATGGTAAGTGTTACGATGTGGAACACAGAGATTCAGATTGTATATAGTGTGAGGGCATCCAGAGCCTTTTAGATATCGCCGCACAACAACAAAGGTCTTATTGTACACCCATAGTTGGTTCCTGACACAACGGGCAGGTGTGCCATTGCTTCAATTATGGCGTGGAGGGTCATTCTCAACTGCGGTTTTTCGTCACCCATGGACAGTGGCGGTAGTAAGAAAGGGAAGGTTATATATATAATAATATATGTAATGTTATTCTCATGACAGACGTTCCCACGCACCATCTGGATAGACCATGGGATACTAGTCGGCAGGTAAAAGCCATAAAGTCAGAGGTAGGGCCATGGTCATTCAATGTAATCTCACCTGAGAAATGCGTCATGTCGAAAGCAATGCTTGATGTGATATCTTAAAGATATGGCAATTATTTATAAAGAGGCAGAGGGTAGGTAAAGACACTAATGTTTACTCCTTTCTTTTCTATTTCCTTAGTCATGAGGGTCAAGCTATGTTATGCTAGTTGATATTCCGTGGTTTCATATAAACTGCACGCAATGTATTATTTACTTTCGATGAGAAAATATATCATAGAGAAACTCAGACTGTTGATGGTAGAGCCTATGTGTCAGGATTGGTAGTTCTAGAGTGAATAGAGCCTTGAAGCAGTCACATAGCAGGTAGGTATGAGGGGTCAATAGCCATAGGGTAGGTGAAGTTGGTCAATTGGCCCCTGGCCTTCCAATATCTAAGGGGGGGAAACCCCCCTTATATATACGTAAGGCCACTATATCCACTATAGGTGACTAATACACCTGACACTATGATTGATACGAGCCATTGACATAGGCCAAAAGACTGACTTGTTTAGATCCACTAGTAGTCCCACGACTCATGGTTGCTGTGACATATGGATAATTGACATATTTCTGGGAAAAAGAGTTGGGCTGCGTGAGTTTCCCGGGAATGATGGAACGGCATACCGGTAGTAAAGTTGAAAATAGTAAATTGAGAAGCTACCCGCGACGGATTTTGGTGGAACTACAACTAGTCGCACAGCGAAAATCTGCATCTCACAATCGATATCTTGAGGCCAAGATGATATTATTATAACATACCTGAGGTATACCTATCTATTCGATGTGTATATATACAGGTGTATAAGTGGATGGATACTGGTACAAGTTGAAGACTGTTCTAATAATAAACGACACTTTGCCCGAAAAGGTGTCGAGCTGGGAAAGTACCTGGATGTTGTATTTGGCACTTGCTGGTGGGTAAGGTAGCCAGCAATAAATAACTATAAATACCTACATATGTATGTAACGTATATAATAACTGGAAAAAGCT